GCGTGGGCTGGGATTCCTGCAAGGCTGTGCCTGTGCACTGGGGAAAACTTATCAATTTCAGTGTGCTAATTAATGAGCTGCTTTTCAAATTAGGCCTAAACACGGGTGACTGCTGTCCTGGTCCTTCACATGACCAACAGCTCTTGTGTGGTACAGCACCAGGATCTTCCCTTGCTGTAAAGGCTTAAATGTTTTAAACACCCTTGTTAAATGTTAGGAATGGTAATGTTGTCTTGAGGCCAGAAGTGCCTGAAAACTGAATTATCCTCACGGACAAGGTTGTCTTTTGGACTTTTGACCCTTGTGGGGCCGTTTTAATGCAAACAGCAATGTGCAAGCACGGAGTGTGACACTCCAGAGGGGAGCTGGAGCTTCCTGCAGGCTGCAATTCCCATTTCCTGCTGCACTGAATGCACAGCTCTGGTAATTATGTTCGTGTGGTGATGCATTTCCTTGTTTGTGTTAAATACTTCAAATCTGTTTTCGTCAGAGAATGGGATGGTTGGGTTTCTATAGGGAAAGGACCTTACAGACCATCTGGTTCTATCCCCTGCCATGGCAGGGACACTTCCCACTATCCCAGGGTGCTCCAGCCTGGCCTTGGACATTCCAGAGATCCAGGGGCAGCCACAGCTTCTCTGGGAATTCCATTCCAGGATCTCCTCATCCTCAAAGCCAGGAATTCCTTCCCAATATCCTGCTCTGGCAGTGGGAAGCCATTCTGGGAATTCTATTCCAGGACCTCCCCACCCTCAAAGCCAGGAATTCCTTCCCAATATCCCATCTGACCCACTCTGGCAGTGGGAATCCATTCCCTGTGTCCTGTGTTGGACATGTATTTAATTCCAAGTGTCACCCCAAACCTTTTATGCCACATCTGCCCTTGGAAAATCCTGGAATTCCGAGGGTACCTCAGCAGCAGAGAGGAGCTGGACGTGCAAACCCTTAGGAAAACAACAAAAGGCAGATGCTCTGCCTTCCCTTGGAGTTGCAAATCCCAATCCTCGGAGACAGGCTGTCCCTTTCCAGGAGCAAATCCCCTCCCACAAAGCTGCCGGTGCCATCTGGCAAAAAAAAAAATAAAAAAAAAAAATCAGGGATCCGAGAGGGAATGGTTTGTGTTTTGTCCATAAAATGTGTGTGACGGGGCACCCAGGCTTTTCCTGGAAACGTCCACGCCGAGTTTTAATTAAGTGCTGCTCGCTGCCCTTTGATTCATCCCTAAAAGGCTTGGAGAAGGGAATGTTTTCAGTTCTTAGGGTATAATTTATGGTGATTATTCACATCCCAAGAAGGGGGGGAGCTGCTCCAATCGCCCTCCAAACCAGGAGGGGTTTCCTCAAAAAAACTCCCAAAAAGTGAGCGCAGGGAGCTGTGGGACTGCAGGGAAATATAATGAAGAACAATCCAGGAAAGCAAAAATTTTTTTTTTTTATTTGAAGAATATGGGGTTCATATTTGAAAACTATGGAGTTTTCCAAAGCAGTTGGTGTTGAGTCTTGAATTTATGAGCAATAGGCATTCAAGAACAGAACAAACGTAATTAAATTAATTTTTAAAGCAATTATTTCAAGCTTCTTGGAGCAGGCAAAGCAAATATTGGAAATAACATCCTTGCTGAGCACAAAGTTTATTTTATAACAGGTGCCAAAATGTTCTGATGACTTAGAGATATAAACCGTGAGCAGTCAAATTGTGTTTTGAAGGACATGCCAAAATCTGTGCCTGTTTATTATGTTTTATATCTACATTATGTTATACATCTATCTCTTGATAGAATGTCTTTTGGTAATAATCAGATACTAGTACATATATATTTTATAAAAATTATAGTAGTGGTATGCTGACATATTACATCAATACATTGCTATTAAGATACAATGTTTGTAATATTAATATTTGTATAAATATATTGGTATTAAGCGTATATATTATAATGTATATTAATATTAGGCATTTACTGTATCATATGCAGTATGTATTTATAACAGTATAAATATTGTTATATTAATATGTATTAATACCTCAAAAAATCTACCACCTGTACTTGACACTGCCCGCTACACCTACAGAAATGCCCACGAAAGCGGGAAATCTCGTCATAACTTTCAGATCGAGGCCCGAAAATCAACTTTTATTACTTAATAAAATCTCTTGATTCCGCTTTGTTGAGGCTTTATTTCTGAGGGAGCCCACACGCGGGAAGTACCATCGGCCAGAGAGGCGCGGGGG